TAGATTGCACAAGATACACGTCAGTCGCTTCTTATACTTTGTGTCTCTAGATTGCATACAACAGTGTGGCGGAACGAAGTAATATTAGCGACGTAATCTGTAATTTATAAAATTGCAAAAGCTGCTTAATGAACGGAATTTCACGACCTGTAACGTGTGAATTCACTAATACTAAACGTTAGGCCTAGGTCGATGCGTCTTGAGTTTTCGACTGTTCCAATGACCTGATCGTTTGAGTGACCATCGTAAACCTAAACTCAGATAGTCCTCATGCATTCGCATACAAACATACGTACAGATCTATGTTTCACAAATCATAGTTCTCGTTGACGTCTCGACGTCATCGGTCAATGACGTTAGCCCTGTGCTCGGATGTCCAGAAAATGTGTCGGCACCAACTAGCAGGCCGGTGAGTTTCAATAATCAAACAGCAATCAAGAGTTCTCCGATTCACGAGCGTTGCACGGTAAGGAAAGAGAGAGAGAGAGAGAGAGAGAAAGAGCGCGATCGTAAATCGATTGGACGGATCGAGAATCGCGTCAGCAGATGCTCGAGATACAAGTCCCACCGACGTGGCCGGAACGCGTGTGTATGCGTCGGCCTACTCTGCAAACTTCGCTCCTCGCCCCTCGCGTCCTTTTCTCTCTTTCTTTCGCATATTCATGACGTCACCACACCCCTACCATCGTTTTCACCATTACTACGATGCCGCCACCCTCCATCCCGCTCATGGTTAGGGTAGAATCTGGTAGAGGTCGATACACCCCCTCGCGCCCTCCACGGCGAGGCAAACTGGCCTTCTACTTCTTCCCTCGTGACCCCGTGTGTTCTTTCTATTTTCCTACCTCGCGTGCTTTCTCGCTTTCTTCTCCATTTGTCTCTCAACGTTTCGTTTCCCCATCCACCGTTTTCGCTATTTTTCCTGCCCACCCCTGTCCAACTGTGCATACACGTCAACCTGCTTGTATGTGCCAGCAAAGTTGAAAAGAGAAGAAGGTCGGATAAACGATGTCGGTTCGAACACACGGCGCTCGGAGGGTGGAATAGAAAGACGAAGGGTAAATGAGAAAATAAGGGCTGCGACGTGCCTGTAGGTGATAGAGAACGTAGGTAGAAACATTTAAGGACAAGAGTTATTCCGAACATATGATAAAAGCATGACAAATATCGGTGTTTAAAGACGTTAAAGCGATACATTTGTCGCGGAAACAAAATATAAATTCATAATTGTTAACTCTCTCCGATTCTTTTAGTGCAAGCAGGCTTCATACAATCCAATTAGTATCAACAGTCTCGTGTTTCTTGCTTACTTTGTAAGGGGCAATCGTTTCACTGATGAGACCTACAGATAGCCGAACAGCTTAACAATTCGAATAAATCTGGAGGGAAGAACGAGTGCAAAAAGACATGGTTCCCTATGTATTCATCCGACCACAGACGTCACGAAAATAAAGAAAGAAGGGTAAGGAGAAGAAAAAGTGGAAGGAAGAAAAAGAGGGGTGAGCACGGTGAACTAAACGATGGAGGAAAAAAGACGGAGGGAAGAGGAGAACACCGGGATGCGGGAGGGTCGTGGAAAAAGTCGGCGTAAAGAAATCAAGCGAGTCGAGCGAAGGGAGTGAGGGTATGACGCACACTAGTTCCGTGGCGTGCATGCGTGTTCGCGCACGCAGTGTTCGCTCGAGTGCTCGCTCGAGTGTGCGTGAGTACATGGTTACATATACGGTCACGCACACGCAAGCGCGACTCAGTATGACGTCACAAGGGCGGGGTCCTCGTTAGCAGCACTCTGCCGGTGCACTGGGACGACGAAGAGGCGAGCAACACGTGGAAAAGGGGTCGTGTCAGACGACCGGTGCGCGTCCATCACCTCCAGATCCGCACCCCTCGTTCTCTTCAGCCAACTTGCCCTGCGAACGCTTAAAAAGCGCCTTGTCTTTTCCTTGCTTGTCTCACAACTCGCTGCATCGCCTTTTTCCTTTGGTTCTGTTCCGCGAGCAACCCCCACTTACGCCTCTTAGTATCGGGAAAATTGGGCAAACATGGTATCCTGTTCGATGTTCAACGTGAAGATTTTCTGTTTGTTTCTAATCATGCTTCGTGTTGCTAGGTGCAGCGTGAAAAATTATTAATAGATTGTGCACGTTTATGCGAATTTATGTTTTCATGAATTTCACTAATTTCAGAATGTGTATATCGGAACAGAATTAAGGTGAATGGTCAAGGCAAAGAAATATGGCGAATTTTAGGGGGTGGAAGATTCGATCGAAGGAAAAGGAATGAGTTGATTTGTCGGACGTAATTTTTTGAACCGCTCCACATGGGTTCCGAGGCACGGGAAGTTGAAGATACTATCGGTTTAAAGCATTATTTCCGGCGACCCGCGTCCCCTGCGACCGAGAATACTGCCACTTCCGCTAGAAGAGCAGAGAGGTTGAAAGAAAATTTAACAATACACTTGCGTCACGATAAATAATGGTCCTGGTGGTATAAAATGATTCAGATCTTGGGACGGTGAAGCAGAAATCTTGAGCAAGAACTTTTTAGCGAGATAGCAGAAAATAAACCGTCTTGCATTAAATCGAAATACTTTCTTTGACTGTATGACTGAAGAATAGGGGACGTTATTAGCAGAGTTTCATTTGAAACCGCAGGTAATTTATTCGATTGCCGTTTTGGAACAAAATCCAATAAAACCCAAAAACCAACTGTTAAAAATATTTCACCGTTTAAAAATATTGAAAAATTTCTCTGTAATAACAAATATTAATCCAGCTCTGGAATTCTGTAATCAGCAACTGCATAGCGTTCTGCAGACCAAAATGAAAATCGAATTCACGTATATCTCAGCGCGGTGCGAAATTCCGTAGACCAGCGTTCCCAAAATTCCGACACGTAGAAACTCGATGGAAAATCGTGGAAAAGTGCACACGAGTGCGGTTCGACGGTCGCCTGGACACATCACGTTGGAAGCTGAAGGAAATGTTTGAAGCCCCGAGGTCTACCATAAACCATTCGACGTATCCGCAGGGTGGAATGTTAGATCGATTTAGATCGAGTCGTGAAGGTTGGTGGCGCAGAAAGAGAGATCGGGAGAGAGTGAGAGAGAAAGAAAGAGAGTGAGAGAAAACGAGAAAGGGTCAAGCTAAAACGGCAAAGTAACTTCCTCCCAAAATGGACTGTGCGAACTAAAATCGTCACAAGTATCTGCGGTTCGTTCGGAACCGACTGTTGTTAATCTATTTTCCGGAAAAGAACCTGGTAGCTATCTACACGATATCAACGAAAATTACATCGAGTTACGAATCAATTTCCAGGTAGGAGAAAATTATCGGTGTTTTCTAAAAATTGGTTTCGAACTCGTCCTGCGTGCTTGTACCCAGCTCGTTATTCGAACCTTTAAATATTCGTTATGTTAAAAAGCAGCACTCGAGGCAGCTGGTGGCAATGCTTCACGACCAGAGTAATTTCATTCGTCCACAGGTTCCCCAAGGACGTTCCCACAAACAGGAAATTAACAAACGGCCAGCGAGTCCGCGTTTTTCCCCATTATATCGTATATTTACCAGACCGCCGAATCCCCTTGGAATATTTCAGACAATTCCTCGTACCGCTGAAAATTTGAGCGATCCATTAACGGCGTAAGAAAAGAATTCGATCGGGTTTCAGCTGTCGAAATACAAAGAAGAAAACGTATGGAACGTAGAGCTTTACGAGCGCCTCGTTCGAAATGGTTCTGCGTGCTGATATAACGAATACGTTCAAACCTTATCCCTTAACTAATTTCGTCTCAGACACACTGATGGTATTGTACACGCGAAATATAACCTTTTTACTACCGCGTGTGCCTTACTTTTACGTGATTGCTCAAAGATTTCTTGGATTTTCATAGACTACAGAACGAACGATTTACGTGTGCAACGTCAGCCAGTGAAACGTATCTGATGTTTTACGATGCCACGATACACAAACCGCGGTTTATAGTCGCGAATCGAATAACGGAAAAGGGAGCCATTCTTCGAAACGACGCGAAAATTGTTGCACTTGCTTTCAACGGTTCTTCCAGAATTTTACTTCCTCCGATCTTTGTTCCTCTTTCATCATAATCGTTACTAAACGAACAATTTGTATTTACCACGATTCTAAGAACTGATGGATTCCTATCTTAAATACAAGTGATAGAATCGTCTAATACATTCTCCGAGAAGAATTACAAACGTAACAGCTTTCCAAGAACAGCACGATGATGATTGATGATGAAGTAGTGGAGATGGTCGAAATAAAAAATTCTCAGAAGATTTATGATTCTTTGATTCGTATATACAGTCGGAAGCAAAAGTTTACATACACCCCTAAAATTTGAAGCATTGTAAGAAAAGTGTTATCTGTCGCGTTATTTTTTATATGAAATTTGATAAAAAATACCAATTAATTAAAATGTACTTTTTGTGAATTCCGTAAGAACATAATAAGTATTGCTGTTGTTGCAAATAAATTGACGTGTCCCAATACCTAAGAATCATACTGTAAGAAAATCGGAAACTTAATGTATGGTGAATGAGACAGATTCGACGGACGATGGAGAATCGTAGTTGAACAGAGACAACAGACGCGTGGATTGCGTATCATCTTCGTTCCCTTACCGCCTTCTCCGCCGCTGTTACCGTAACAATACGTAATACGATGTATACGTATACGAGCATTACGTTTCCTGTTTGCGTTATGACTATGTACGCTTCGTCGTATTAGTCATTTGCCCGTTATTGACCAAGTCGAACGGTCGCGAACAGAACATACAATAATTCTCCGGTATTCATCGTAATTGTGACGTTCCGCGTTATCGTGGAAAATTTTCATTGATGGAAATCACGGAGATGAAATGTTGTTTACGCACATTGAAATGAGTTCGTTCGAATCGCCATACTTCGTGGAAATTATTGCCGCGTTATATACTACATCCAGTTTCCAGCTAGATCTCGTTTCTGAATCAAATTTACCCCCTTGATTAATTAGGTAGATTTTAGTAAATAGATTAACCTCTCGATGCGAAATGGATGATACCGAAAGGCCTTCTCGAAAAAGCATAATCGAGTACGGAGAGTCGTTCCACCTTGTGGTCAGAAACATTTCCACCAATCTCTATAATCCTTTACCGACTTCATATAACGGCGAATGCAATTACTGGTGAAGGTAAAAGAATCTTCATCGAGTCTGCATTACGGCAAAAGTAATTCGAAACTCGATATACAGGAAGGTACTTCATGAAATATTCGAGGATGATTCACGATGGAAATACGATTCTTTCCAACAGAATCTAGCAGCAGGATGACCTATTCCTTTTCTTTCCGACCTTGCACGCAAAGTCTCGCGCTAGAGTTCACGAACCTTCCCCACAAAGAGTTTTTATGCACTCCACTTATTGTTAGCTGGGCCCGATACCAGAGAGCTCGCGTGGCTAATTTTAAAAAAATCTCCGAGCTAATTTTAATGCGTAATTTTACGGTGACTGACCTCGTAAAAGGACCCTTAGACGACGAAATTTATCACAGTTCGGATAACGCCTTTTTCTTCTTTTTCTGCCCTTTTTCTATTCTTTTCCTTTTACGTGCCATCAATAAATAACAGGAACTCATAGTTCCTCGGCAATCACTCTCGCGTGGACCTCGTAAACGAAGCTTTATCGGCCGAGTTATTGCGCCGTGGAAAGAGCCTAATGCAGGGAAGTTTCCCTTTGTCGATCCGTAGAAACATTTGCATCCAGCGTGATATCGAAATCCTGACGAGTTCGAGGAGCGGAACAAAGGGTTTTAACGCCGATTAAACGGATCGCGTAAACATCCTAGAAATCGTAAGCGTTTCGATCGCGTTAACTTTGGGAACGTGGTAGCGACGAGCAAATTACAAAGTCAATGCGCATCGCCCTCCGTTGGAAACAGCGAAACGGTTTCAAAGTTCACCGGCAGCGATGAAATATCTTGGTGAGAAGTATGTCGAAGTATGCCGGTATACTCCACCAAAGAAATTTCGAATATAGGAAATTGCTTTGAAATTGCTCGGAAAGATTCTTCTAGATTTCAGAATAATCTTCTCTTCTTTGGTTACCTCTTCAAACATCCATGTCTTATCACCAGGACGAGTAATTCGACAAACATTTATCCAACACCTTTCCTGTCTCCCGTAATCGCACGTTTCTCTATCGATCTCCATTCGGATTGACGTAAATATTAACCCTCTTGATCTTCGCTATCAGATTAATTCCTCACGGATAGGTGGAAAAAGCTTCTTGCGATCGTCATCTTCCTTTTACATTTAACATATGAAAATCTTTCTACATTCAGTATCAAAAACATACATATTGAAAAACATAATTCTTCAAGATTCTGGAACTATCCATCGCTACAAATATACTACTTGATAACGTTATCGCAAATTGAAGTATCAAGCGAAGACAACCATTGATGTAACTATACCTTGGGCTGTTTACATTTTGTGGAAGAACTTCAAATCTCCGAAGTTGTTTGTAGATCGATGTTTCGTTTACAATCTTTTATTAATATCGTACATAATACGCGGAACATCTAGAATTGAACTTTGTTAATTTATTCTAAAAACATCCTGATTAACCAACCAAAAAACAGCATTTATGTTACCATAATCCACAAGAAATCCTCGTGTCCGAGTTTACTGTCTGACCTAATCCAGGACATGATCTCCTTCGTTGTTCCTCTAGAACTCGAATTATATACAGTAGATAACATCGGACTAGGTAAATCGCAATGATCGCTTCTCGTGCACGTTGACAGACAATGCTGGTCGAATTCGATGGTGGTCGCGAGGTGGCCCCGTATCTCTTCCCAAAACGAAGGAGTTGCTAACTAGTTTCTCCGTGCATGTTCTCCGGACGGGAACAATACTGATACACGTACACACTGCGCACCAATACGTGTCCTATACACGGAAACAGAGGAGAAGCTTGCACGTCGGAGTTACGACAATATGCCGAACTTACCGACGGCAAACTTTCGGCAAAGAGACAGACGGAGAGAATGAGAGCAGCTCGCGGGTGTGGATGGGGATGGCAGCGTTGACGCGGCGTCGTCAAAGGAACCGAGGACGTCTGCCTTATGGATACACAGAGAGCAAGAGAGGGAGGGTGAAAACGAGAGACGCGGCCCTGGGCGTTCGAAGGGCGGCCGCGATAGCCACCGTTGGAAATTTCGAGCTCGAGAATTCTCCTCACCGTGCCGTGTGTCCTCTCGCTCTTCTGCCCCGCTCCCTGTGTGACACAGTTTTCTTTTCCGCATAGAGAAGGCTGTATTATGAGCGAGCGTATCGGCTAATTTTTCGACGTTCCTAAAAACTTTCGGCCCGATGCGAACGTGTTAAATTACGTTTAGAGGTTATAATAAGCAACAAGTAGATTCTCCGTGCTCTCGAAATTCGAAATAATACATCCCATTAAAAAAAGAAAAAAGAAAGAAATTAAGAAAGAAAAACGGGAACGTCGTCGTGTCGTCACTCTATCAATTATTGCCTCTGGGTTTTTCTTTTCCCTTAAAGAAAAAGTCAGTTATAAAGTTAATTCTATCCGGAGGCTTCTCGCTACTCCCGCGAATTAATGCCATGGCCCGGGTAATATATTCCGATTGAATTATTTTACACAGGAACGGCTGGATTCCTTTCTTTACGTCCCTTTATTTTGAATTATTCATCGCTTTGTCGGAAATTGCTTCCGTGCCACTTTCAATTACACGTTTGTCCATGTTCAACTTTCGCAGGGAACAGCTCATCGTCCCGTCTTGGCTCCCTTCCTCCTTCCCCCGTAATTTCTTTCCTTTTTCGACGTCTCGCGACGCGGGATAGCGGATCGTCAAGTTATCGAACTCCAAGTTATCGGTTCCTCGCCTCCAGGAAGATTCCAAACGATCGCAACTTCCAACCGTCGAACTTCAAACGACGAATCTGCGTTGGTAATGTCCCGTTCTTGCTTCTTCCAACAAGTTCCACGGTTGCTTATAAGGTTGCCGAGTTGTCGAAGTGGCATATAATTTCTAAACTACTCCCTCCCAGTTCGGAAAAGCGGTCACCAACATATGACCCGTAGCAACACGCGCGGTAGGCTCAGTCGTAAATACGGTTCACAGTCGCGAACCATCGGTTAGGGATATAGGAAAAGCGAAATTTAACCTATTTGTTTTACTATTTATTTAGTGGAAACTTCAACTTTTGTTAGACCGATAGAAAACGCGAACAAAATAGGATCAAAGTTTGCCCGAAGCGTGATTTTTATCTCACGTTCCGGCTGTCCATTTTAATTAATAACTGTCCCTTTTTAATACGATTTCGCCGTCGTATCGACGCGTTGAAAAATGTTTGCAAGCCCGCGGATCACATTTTTATTACGTTGGACATTCGAGCTCTCTGTATAATGACGAGGATTTTATTAGAGGGACGCACGAATTAATTTCACCTGGAAGCTTATCGCATCCCACGTGGCGATTAAGCGAAGAATATGTACGTGCAAATATCTGGATCGTTGGTTGCTGGCTCACGTAACAAAGAGAGCGAGGTGGCTTCGATCCGGGCCGATAGTTCGATAAAAATTTAATAAAGCATCGGAAAAGTATCGTAACCTGAGAACATACCGGGAACCGTTTAATGAAATTTTTATTGCCACCGTCCAGCCGCCATAGTGCTGGAAAACGCGGGCCGATTTACGAATAAGACCCGAAGATAGGTTCGTTAAAATTTCCCTCGACTCATAACGAATTCTCAAACACACTGCCGTCCGACAGTCACCGAGATCGAGCCTCAACGTCCACCGAGAGCGTTTCCAATAAATATTCTATGCATTCTTAAATCTTCATTTCGGGGACTAACTTTAAAAGAGAATACCCGATCAGCCAATTTCGTCCTTTAAACTGCTACCTCTATTCTTATTCTATCTCTTTTAAAGCCATAGAAAAACACCACACCCATAATGGTTTCTTTGGTAGTATCACCTTTAAAGCCGCGATCCAGTCGTGGAAAACGAGAACGAATCGAAGAGAGGAAGAGGCCGATTGTTGACGTCTGCCATCAACGACTCTGATCAACCGATTAACGTTTCGCTACACCGATGTCGGTATCGTAATCAGCGTATCGCGATCTGACGCCTGAATTGCTTATCGTCGAGCTCTTCTCCTCGTCTTATTGTGGTAGTTGCACGTTCATGAATATACCCTAGGGCTGGTAACAAGCAGCCAGCTAGAGAGCAACATAATATATTCCCGATCCGGTGGCTCGATGTTCTAAAGGCGACTATCAAGTTGTGGTCGCCTAATTTACGATCCCGGCAAATGGACGCCGGCTTTAGTGGACGCGGCTTCGGCCGCTCACTGCCGCCCCCCTCTTTTGCTTCTCGTTTTCCCTCGACCAGAGCTTCCAGCAGAGGCGAATCTTCCCCGGAGAGTTTGTTATCGCGGCGGAAAGCAACGCGTGAACTTCACGATCTAGGGAGCAACGTGAACAATTAAGTGGCGGCAGGGATAGCTCGAGGGGATGGCTATTTCGAATATTAAGCCCGGGGGTTGAGGGTGGACGCTTCCAGCTGCTCGCTGGATTACTTGGATAAATCTGGACCCAAATTCGGCTCGGCTGAATGGTTCGGATATAGAAGAGGATTGGACGGGGGATGTTTGGAATAGCTGGCGGAGTTTTCCGCTGAACTTGGCCTGGTTTGGTAATTATATCCGGCTTTATTGTATCTAAGCTATCCATTAGCGAGTAGTCTAATTGGATAGTTCAAAGTTAATTGAAATATTAAATATCCTGCTGCTAGTGTCACGATCACGATCTATGAAGCGGAGCGGACAATCGATCAACACGCAATGGATTACAGTCTGCTAGGCAATTGGAACGGCAGGCCTGGCGGGAACGCATCTTCCAATGACCCGAATGGTTCAATTGATCAGATCTAATCTGAGATTCGGGCAAATCGATCTGGCGAACAATGGGAACTGGCAACTGGTTGCCATTTCGCCTATTGGGTTTATAGGAAAGAGATTTACCATCTTCGATCGATCGAATAATTGCTAACCGACTCTAGGAAATCTCCCTACCTTTTCCTTGCTTAAAAGCTGCACGAACGTAAAGATATCATAGATAAGATTGCAAAGGGAAGAGCAAGCTACGCTATCAGAATAAGGAGAACAGGCGTATTTTTTCTCCAACGGACCGATCGGTCGATGGTCCAAAGTCGACTGTCG